CGGCCGTCCAGAAGCCTGCGACTGATCTGCCTCGCCTGGGAAGAGTGCAATGATGGTGCCAACTTGGGCCAGTGAAACAACGTCCTCCACAACTAGACTGAAGAACAAAAGGACAGCAACTTGTCTGTTCCCCTCCCCCAATTCCCCAGCACTGTTCCCATCCCCCCAACTCCCCAATAAAAGAACCTTTAAAAAAATAAATAAATAAAAATAAAGTCACCATCATTAACATACCTCACATAAACCAGTAACTGTGAACAGTTTACAACGTCCGTAGATTCATCAAGCTGGATATTGGAAGTGGAGCAGATTTAATTTCCTGGATTACCTGATCAAGAATATCAGCAGACATGTCATCTATTCTTCTGTGGACAGTGTCGTTAGATAAGGAAATTGCACTCAATTTCGTAACAAATTTGTCTCCGATCATAACTCGAACAATGTCTTTGGCCGCTGGCAACAGCAAATCCTCAGCAATGGTGTGAGGTTTCATAGCTCTGGCGATTTTGAGTGCCACCAAATATGAAGCTTCAACGGCTGCTACGTTTTGTTTGTGGTACTTGCCAGCAGTGTCAAGTCTGGCTTTCTTGAATCCATCAGCTTTGCTTCTAAAATAGTTGGTATCCTTGCCAGCAAAGCTCGGATGCTTGCTATCAAAATGGCGTTTTAGTTTGTTCGGCTTCATAGATTCGGCTGATAGAACTTCACAACAAATAACACATTGCAGTTTCTCAATTCCTGCTGTAATTATAGATGTAAAACCATACTGTAAAAAGTCCTCACTATATTTTCTTTTCTTAACGTTCTTCTCTACATGATTCATTGTCATGGGATGGTTGGCTAATGAAAATAATATATAACAATAGCTTTAATAATACAAAAGATGCTACATGGCATAGTCCACTCAATACAGTTCATTAAAGTTTCCTATGATTTACCATTGTGTTGTTTTTTTACATACCTGTTACTATCACAAGGGGGCAGTATTCACATCAACCACAGCTGAATATAAAAAGACCGATCAGCATCCAGATTAAGTTCCCATGGTACAGATATTTTTTTTTGCAGTAGTTGATGATTTTACAGTATATGAATTTACATTTACCCAGTAATTATAATTCATGAAGTGTTGTTTTACCTCCAACACTTTTGCTTTCAACACAGCAGCTGCTTTCTACACAGTAGCTGCTCTCTACACATGTGTGACTGGTCCACATAAGTACATTATGGTGCCAACCCTGTCACATACACTTGTATTTGTACGGGTATATGTGATGGGGTTGGCGCAATGATGTCATCACGGCGGGTACTCGTATGTGGGCGTATCTGCATGTGGGCGGACCCACCTGGAGACGGATAGAGGAGCGGTGTCTCGGTTCCTAATACCATAAAAAATATGTGTTTTCCGATAGTCTTAGGCGACCCATGAAAGGGTCGCAACCCACAGGTCGAGAACCGCTGCTTTAAGGGCTGCTTTAAGGGCTCAGTGGGTTTTCCACACGAAAGGCTAGAAAATTTAACATTGTGGGACAGCTCAAGTGACTCTTAAAAATACCACCAAATTATCTGGAAGGGGGAAAATGTTCCACAGTGACTCTTCCAGGAATCTCAGGTCTGCAAAGATACTGAAGAAGCTATCCAGTGCTTTAAGATGAGCCTCCCATGTGTACACTTACTTACAAAATATCTACATAGGCTGCACTGACGAATAAGTAAGTAAACACTAACCCTTTAAATCTCAGGTTAAATTCCATTTTCTCAGAGAAGCAGCCTCTCCTGACCTCAAATAACCTGTTATATACTCTCCCAAAGACACATGTGCTACTTCATGTAATAACAATGAAATCATGAATGAATAAATGAGCAATATCTAATAATAAAAAACCTATATTACTTATACTCAAAATATACTTTTGCCAAAGTAGAAAGACAACTGATAAAGTAGGCCATTATTAAGTATCACTGCAACTAAAGTTCAAATACTTTATATACTCGTTAGCAATCAGATAAAATAGACATAAAGTCTTTGGGCTTTAGAGAAGTTAGGTAACCTTAGTGTTTCACTCTGATCTCTAAAGAATACCTGGCATTTTTAGCCACTGGTCCACACACAATCTTGCTGCTTCTGTATCAGAATGTCCTTGAATAAATTCCAGTTCTTGTAACCCATGAGCATGCTGAAAATCAATTTTTTCCTAAAGATAGTAAGAAAAACATCAATTAACCTATGATTACATAGCAGCTCTTCTACAACCCTGATACAAATTTCTTCCTTTCAGTAATCAATTTAATCTGAAAGGACAAGCTGAAGTTTGAGGAAGAAGTCTGCTGTGTTTAGCAGAAAATAAGCTTTCAACAGCTTATATCTACAAACATGATCAACTCTTTTCACTCTTGTGATCAAGTAACCAGAAACCCCTAATTACTCATTTGCCTTGAGAAACCCAATGATTTTAATCCCCCAAATTAAGTCCACTTAATTCTATTTTTTCTTTCTTTTTTCCTGTATACATATATGATCAGAATCCAACAAACTAAAATTAGAGATGTAAAAAGTTATCATGAATTACTACTAAATTGATGAGCGATCTAGAGTCCATGCTAAACATGGATTCAATTATACATTTTTTTATTACAAATTTCTCTTTATAACTTTATCATAAACAATTCTATAATTTGGTAAAACACAAAATAGCCACATACCCTGAATGCTCTGTTCTTCTCTTCTTTCTGCTGTTTCTCCACTTCAACATGTCGGGCTAGACGAGCCAGAGTTAAAGCAACTTTATCCTTCTGATGGTCAATATGGTCTTTACGCTTAACATTAACCTATAATTGAAAAAAATTTTTTTTCATTACCTTTAACAAATAAAATTAGCTTTGAGATAACATATCCATTTACCAAAAAGTTAATGTATTAAAGAATCATTTGCCTTTATCATTATCAAATTTCTAAGAACCTGTCCTGTGTATTTTACACTTCATGTGGTATTTTGCAGGTCAGCCAATCATCCACCAGCACCTTGTTTTCAAAAAGATAAACTAGCTGCTAGAACATTTATCATCGTTATTTACTTTACAATCATCTGGATATTGAAAAGTTCAGAACTGCTTTGCTCTGAGTCTATAAGGTAATACCATCAAGCCATTAATTAGTCCACCCTCCAAAAAGTCTAACAAAACGAACATTCTTGGCTCTGGTTTTTCAGCAAAGCCAGGACAGTATTCACTTAACAGAAACTACTGATTTAAAAAAAAATAGATCTAGGGCCTGCTGAGTGGCGCATTGGTTAGGAGTTGGCTTGGGACGCCAGCTCTGAGCAGCAGAGCCCCGTTCAGAACCTACATGAGGGCCAGTGACGCTACGCCCTCTACTGCTAAGATGGTGAACAACATCTCCACCTGGAGCTGGGCTGCCGTGAGTCGCCGGCGACGACGTAGGCTGCAGTGGGGCTGGCCGGCAGGGGGCATGAGCGTTCCTGAGCCACCGTGAACCACCGTCCAAAGGCCGGTGAGCGACTGCCTCACCCACCCGGGAAGAGCACATTGATCATAATACCAACATGGGCCAGTGAAGCAACATCCTCCACAACTAGACTGAAGAACAAAAGGACAGCAACTTGTCTGTTCCCCTTCCCCGATTCCCCAACGTTGTTCCCCTCCCCCAATTCCCCAATAAAATCTTAAAAGAAAAAAAGATCTAACTTCTGGTTCCTGGTCCAACATGTAAGCAGTTTAGAAGTTGCAACTCTATAACAAGTAAAAAGCTAAACAAATTGAAAAGTCAACAACTCTTCTTAGATTCACCAGAGAAGTTAGGTCACAGTGTAAGCTGCTGCCCCCAAAATGAGAAAGATGGGGGAGAGGGGCAGATATAAAGAATCACAACTTAGTGGAGCAGAAACCCATAAATAGAAACCTCAGCAGGAACCAGTACTGGGTAGGAAAAATCTGAATTGTAACTGACGAATTGCTGGAGGCTCAGCGTGGGCAAGTCTAAGAGTTAAAAACTCCTGGAGGACCCAGTCATGGTGTCCCTTACACTTTGGTAAGTTTACTTCCAGGAGCTCTACCAGGTTCTCACTGTGAAGATGGGAGAAAAATCCCCTCATGCTTCCAGCGGGGGCAGAGGAGAAGTAAGCATTTTGAAGTAAGAGCATTCTGTTCTTAAAAAGGTCTGCCCTCAAGAGAAACTATTTTACTAGAGCCTAACCTGCTAGAGGTTTAACAGAGCTTAACCAACCTGGCAGAAGGAAATACCCAACTCCCACTTCCTTTAGCCTTCCACATGGGGAAAGGGAAATACCCAATTCCAGGCCCCTCTACCTAGCCTGTCCCACTTGAGGGGATGGACTGAGAAGCACTGCTTAAGTTCACAATGCAGGGACACAGGCGCACCAAGACAGAGATCTAATCGCGGGACTATAGAATGCACCACTTCTCTCATACCTCACCACTACATTATGAAGGCCCTACTTACCAGTTTCTTTTACCTGGTACATCATGTCTACCTTTCAACAAAAAGTTACAAGGCATACTAAAAGGCAAAAAACAGGAGTCAGAGAACAAGCACAGAATGGCAGACATGGCAGGGATGTTGAAACAATCAGATCAGGAATTTAAAACAACTATGATTAATATGCTAAGGGCTCTAATGAAAAACTGGTAACATACTAGTATGAGGTGTGATTAAAAAATACGGTGAATGTTTAAATTGAAAAAAAATGTATTACAGTAGAGGACACATTGCCACTAACCCCCCTCAAAATGCTCCCCCTTGCTTCGAACACACTCATCCCATCATTCTTGCCACTTTCTGAAGCAGTTCTGGAAGTCCTCTTTTGTGAGTGTCATCCTCCATCATGACAATGCTCCGTGTCACACATTACTTCTGGTAATGGCAATTTCTGTCATATAAAATCATTACAGTGTGTCTTCATCCACCATATTCACCAGATCTGGAACAGTGCAACTTCTGGCTCTTCCCCAAAGTGAAAATGACAATGGAAGGTAAATGTTTTGAATCAATTCAGGACATGGAGGCAGTCACGACAGCGCAACTAAAGACACTCAGGAAAGAGGACTTCCAGAACTGCTTCAAAAAGTGGCAAGAACGATGGGATAAGTGTGTTCGAAGCAAGGGGGGTCTTTTGAGGGGATTAATGGCAATGTGTCTTTTACTGTAATAATTTTTTTTAATTTAAACATTCACATTTTTTTATCACACCTTGTACAAGAACAGTTATGTAACGTAAGTAAGAGAGATGGAAATCCTAAGAAAGGACCAACGAGAAATGCTAGAGATCAAATACAGTGTAATGGAAATGAAGAATGCCTTTAATGGGCTCACTAGTAGACTGCGCGCCACTGAGGAAAGAAGCTTTGTGCTTGAGGATATGTGAATGAAACTTCCCAAACAGAAAAACAAAGCGAAAGAAGACGGAAGAAAAACAAAAGAGAGTATCTAAGAACAGTTACAAAAGATGTAGCATATGCATAATGGGAATACCAGAAGAAGAAAGGAACAGAAATATTTGAAGCAATAATGACTGAGAATTTCCCTAAATCAATGTCAGACACAAAAACACAAATCCAGAAAGATATAAAACCTTTGTTCACAGATGACATGATCATCCTAAGAAGAAACACGTAAATAAAATAAACAGTAGTTAGGAGTAAAGTAAACTGTGTAATTCAATCTTTACAGCAGCTTTATGAATAATTGCCAAAACTTGAAAGCAACCTAGCTGTCCTTTAGTGGATGAATGGATAAATAAACTCTGGTACACCCAGGTGAGGAAATGTTATTTATAAAATGAAATATTATTTATAAAACGAAATAAGCTATCAAGCCATGAAAAGACATGGCGGAAACGTAAATACATATCATTAAACGAAAGAAACCAATCTGAAAAGGCTACGTACTGTATGATTCTAACTATACTCATATGGAATTCTGGAAAAGGCAAACTATGGTGATAGTAAAAAAGATCAGTGGTTGCCAGGGGCTGTGGGGAGGGAGGGGTGAATTGGCAGAGTACAGAGGATTTTTAGGGCAGTAAAACTATTCTGTATAATACTATAAGGGTAGATACCTGTCATTATACATTTGTCTGAACCCACAGAATT